ACCCCTCTACCTTGTTGCCCCACTTCTCTCTGGCCTCCACTGCTCCCGTTTCCTTGCTAGCCCACCGTCATATCCCTTTCAATGTATTGCTTATAATCCAAAAGGTAGCAACATCAGTTTAATCATTTTGTTTCTGCCATTTTTTGGATGCTGCAAAACAGTGGCCACTTGCATCTCTGACATTCTGTGTTCCGTCTATTTGGAGAGAAGACAAGTACTGGATGCATGTTAGGTGTTATGTAGGGTTCTAATCTGAAGTACAGATAAAGTATATTCTACCTGCACAACAAAGCTCTGTCCCATAAATTTGCTCCTTATGTTTTCACAGTACCTTCAGTACAGTTATTAATGAACAACCAGGAATTTTACAAAAATCTTTAACAAAAAAGTTTGCACTTAGCATAGTTGCAATTTCCTGCATGTATCCAGTGCTTGTGTATGCTTGTATTAGAAAAGGAAAAATAAAACAAATTAATAAATACCTATCTTGATGTTAAGCACAAGTAAATAAGCTGGTATTGAATATTATTAAATATTACATATATAGGTTAATATATTCCCAGATTTAAAAACAGATCCAATAAAGTAAAGCAGTTTACATTTACTTTGGCCAATTAGATGGCTCAGGCCACCTCCTGAATGTCCACTGGTTAAGGTCAAAGGGCAAAGTGCCAGACGTAGCTGAATTGTTGATGAATGCTGAGCATTATTACTGCAGTGAGTGAGAATAGAGTTAGACTGTCGCCATTGTCTGACTTATGTGCCAATTCATTGAACATAATAAACTTCTATCATGTTGAAATTAATGTAGTTTAAAGTTTCAGACCTCTAATGTGCAGCTGTCACTTTCAAAGTAATCGTCTGCATTGAGAGTCACTGAGTGGTGAAATAAATATTTTAACTTAGGTGATTAACAATGTTCTGCCAACATTCTTCTCTTGCATCATTTACAGTGACATAGCTTTATACCATAATACATTTTTGTATTCATTGCTCTCCATTCTAAGAAGGTGGCACACCTTTGGTACATTTTGTGAGGAAAAAGAGTCAAATAAAATGTCCTATTCCCTCTTTAATGAAAGTGTACACAGAGTCTGCTGAAGAAAGCCTGGGTTAACAAATAGTTGATAGTCGTCTGGTCTCGACACCTTTCGGGGTTGTTCTAGACACTGAGATGTTCATCATGGACCTTGGAAATAGAAACATGAAAAAAGCTAGTCCACTTTATCCTGCAAAGGATTGCAGGGAGCTGGAGTCTGTCCAGCTGACATCTGGTGAAAGGCAGGGTGCCCCTTGGATAGGTGGCTCACACAAGGAGACAAACAGGCATGCTTACAGTCACCCCCAATTTAGATTCACCAAACCTACCATGCATGTCGTTGGATTGTGGGAGGAAGCTGTAGCATCCAGAGAAAACCTACAGGCAACAGCATGTAACAAAGTCTATACATAAAGCCCCACCTGACCAGAGATTAAATACTGACATTAAACAAATTAATAAATAAAATAAATTAATTTGAAATGACATTTTTTATGTGTAACAGAAGCATGTTTACGTATTAATAAAAGATACATTTGGTCATTTAGTGTATGCCCACATAGCCATACCTTTGACAGTATGAGACATGATACAATATTAAATGCTAGAACTTGTACCGTGTAGCATTCTGGTACCAGCTGAAGGGATTTCTGCTTTTTCCTGACTCACACACAGATCAAAATAAAAGACTTAAGGAACTTGATGTGAAATATTCACTGACAGAATTTGCAGCAAGATGTAAATGCCACAGAGACATGAGCAAGAGGCACACATTGAGATGCATACTGAATGCCGTAAACGGTGCCCTGTTCCCCTGATAAGACTGTTCAACATAAGAGGCAAGTCCTTTTCACACAAAAAGAGATGAAGCACATAGGACGCTGCAAGCACACAGCCAAGGTTAAAGGCAAGAAAGAAACAGGACACAGTTTAATTGTCAAGTCAAATGAGATCACTGTTTTACATTCTCACAATGTACACCCACAAGCATTATCATACTGTATGTATCTTGAACTTGACCTTCAAGGCCCTGTGGATAGTTAAATGAGCACGATATGCCCTTGACTATAAGAAGAATTACATCTTTGTACCATTTAGCCTATTATGCAAGACAGAAGTTGATGAAAAAAGACCTTGGGGTTGGTGGATTGTTCCTAATGGCATAAGCACTGAATACAATTTTCAGACTTTCTGTGACCCAATCACATGTCCTAAACAGGTGAGGTTAACTTCCATTTTAGTTTGTTCAGTTGCAAGAGACATAAAAGACAGGTCCTTTGGCAGCTTTAACTGATGCTCATCTTTGTCTTACTATAGTTAGGATTTTTTTTTCTTAATTATACAACTTTCATTTACTCATTTATTTATTTCTGCTGGCTATTTGTAAGGAGGTTTAGAACACTGTGTAAAGACTCGATGTCCTCTGGTGCATCACAGTGCTGGCTGATCACAACTCTGTTTTTGAGTGTTTGTTCTTCAACACGCATGATTGTAACAAACATACTGTAGGTGCACGTTTGCCATCCACCTGGATATAACAGCAGATTCTTTGTGGTACTACTTTATTCAGTTGAATCAATTTAGCACTTTGTCTTTTTTCTGAATAAAGTGAAAAGTATATATATATATCTGAAGTTGTCTACAATAAGCTGAGAAACGTTTAAATGCAATCTTCATTTCTGCCCTCTGATGTGATTGGGCTGCTGCTTTTTTCAAAATGGTTTGGCCCTTGCAACGTTTACTACCAGACAAGAGCAAACCGATTTTGTTTTCTTTCTGTGTTTCCAGGGCAGATTTTTCAAATTTGTTGTTTACATCCATATTATTTGCCAGCAGCCATCTTCCACTGCCTATGTTAACCACCACTGATCAGCAGTCACTCCTTACTACAGTTTAGCACAGCTTCAGTTTCCTTGTTTGTCAACACTACAACTGACAAACAAGCAAACAAAAAAGAAAAACTTTCTTCATCTCCCTCTCTCTACTCCACTACTTATTGTCAAACCCAGTCATTGTGTTAATGCACTAGTTTTGCTGTGTATCAAAGGATAAAGTCAGAAATGATTAAAATGAAAAAAATGTTTGATTACATGCGAACTGCCAACAAATATAGACATTTACAGACATTCATAGTGAATTTCAAGCTTTAGAACTGAGAGTTGCTCAAGCTAAAAAATACACAGAGTAAAAATAGCACAGAAAAGACAGGGCAGCCAGAATGTCATTCAGTCACGTCTGATAGACACATGGTCTTGTTCCTCACTGCGTTCCACCCGCCAGTACTAGACCGAGTAGGGTGCTTTGCCTCAAATAGCTTAATTAACAGTTATTTCATAACCTCCCCACATTTTACAGTCAGTCATATCAGTAAACAGCTGGCTTCCAAACTGACCCCTTTGACCTTTTTTATTGTTTTTCAGGATATCTGAGATTCCTGGAAAATATAAAGCAGACTTGCTGTATGAGGAGGAAGACTGTGTGCCAACATCCACATTTTATTTTTTTCAAGGAATTGAAGATAAAGGGACTTGAGGGCTGATGTGGAACTCAGCATTGTACTGCATGGCTCTTCTGTTGTTTACTTTAAGAATAGGCACTTCATACCATGCAACTGACAATCATTTCAAAGAAGACAAATGCTGTCTATGCAGATACACAAGTCAGGCACAGATACAATTAAAAGCAACAAGAACATCAAGCTTATTTAGACCAATGACTGAGACAGCAAAGCAAATAAGGCTGAATTAGGAATTGAGCTGTGTTGTCTGGGTGCAATACAACCCTGAGCCATGACACACTGTTAAGCATTTGAGGCCTGCTTTATAGTTTTTGTTTTAGTGCATTTGTGTGCATTTTGCTCAGCAACAGGAGAGGACATGCTGGCAGTAGCACATGATCAGGCATTACTGCTACTGTAAAGGCTAAAAGCTCACTAACTGTCTGAGCATGAATGCTCACTGGGGATACTCAGACACTGCATTCCAAGCAAATGCAAGTCAATCACATCATAAGTAGTTATAAAACATACAAAATCTGCATTTATGTCTTACAGTGAAATTAATGCACAAAGGCCTCTCTACCTACTTAAAGGGAAACTCCAGAGATTTGGTATTCTACCTTCATAGGTTTGGGAACTTGTGAAGCACAGTAGCCCATATCCTGCCTTAAACCCCCATATGGATGAAGCTTATAATCATAGGATCCTACGCTTCCCATAATGCAACTTTGCAGTATCTTTTGATGTTTCCATCCTACAAAATTGTGTCTCAAGGTTGAAGTCTTTCCCCAAGCTTGACAAAACTCCTTCAGAGCCACAGGAAGCTGGAACAGGAATAGAACTTTCAGGTTTTTACTCAACAATGTGATTCCCCATGATTGGAAAACTGACATGAGAGTTTTTGTGCTATTTTCCACATCTATGCAAGCTGTGAATGCAAAGCCTGCTGATATTTTCTCAGCACCTTGCCTTGTAAGTTTTGTGAATTCTATTCTGTTTGTGGTTCTCTGCTAATTTATAATTCCTGCCCACATCACCATAAAGGGAAAGTGCAATCAATCAAGGTTGCCATCCCAGTTGCCATTACTCATTGTGTTTGTCCGGCCAACAGGAATGTATGGTAGCCCCAGGGCTCCTGGAAACATCTCTAGCTACAAACAACCAGGTTTATGTGCTTTTTTTTTGGTAATTGTATCACACCATCAATGGCTTTCTTGGCAGACAGAAGCCCTTCTAAACAAAGTATCTTCTGTCTCAAAGACTGGACCTCTTAAGAGCTTCAACACTATAGAAACACTGAAATTCTCTAAAATTATGCTGTTAAAATAAGGAATTATATTTATGTTGATTTACTAGATTACTTGCTTATCTTTTACAATTGGTGGAATGAAATGGATTGTACTACCATAATACAGATCCCTCTGTTTTTTAAGTGGGGACATGTCATAGGTGGCTGCCAACATGTTAGTCATCTAAGAGCTGTTCCTCCCAAGTGGAGGTAGGGATTGCACTGTATGGGTCCATTATGACCTTGGCACAGCGGATGATCATGGCCACCAGCAGCAGGCAGAGGAAGGCGATGCAGGCCAGAGTCAAGCCCTGGTCCACGTCCACGAAAGCTGGCTCTGTAGTGCCCTCCACCTCCATGACTGTTGTCTACTGCTGCTGTCCTTAGACACGCCCTCATACCCCGCTACCATCCTGAAGACCCGACTGCAGACAGAGAGAGGAAGCAGATGGTTGCGTTTGGACTTAAAGCAGACAGAGAAAAGTCTAATTGGCTCAAAATATGCAAATGGCCAACACACAAAGTAATGTTTTGATTGCATGCATGTCATCATAAACCACTCGGCAAAGGGCGTGTTGATTGTTTCACATGAGACACCACATTCCATTATTATTAGTGTCATTAGCATCTTCATCATTGTACATGTGAACTATAATGGTAAGGACCAGGCTAGGCTTCGACAATGTGTCAGTTGTTGACATATAGCTAAACCAGAGCACTAGCGGTATGGCAAAATCAGTAAGAAGTTAGAGCTCAATGTATAAGATTTTTTTTATACACCAAGTTGAAAAGAAGTCACTGACACAGCCAACCAGATTTCTTCTGGTATTTCAGAACCTTGGAACCCTGACTACCTGCTGACAAAATTCTCATTCAACAATTAGGGAACTTTTAATGTAACACAACATCCCAGTGGGCCAAGGTTGCACATTCAGCACACCATACCTCACTTAACCTTACTGAAATTGTGTGTTGAGGCAATACTTCTTCCTAATACAAGTGTTGTTCAAGAGCTTCTCTTCATCTAACAATATGACTAAGTACTCTAATTTTTATAATTTACATCTGTTGACAATTCCAGGTGATGCAATTTTTTTCCCTTCAAAGATATTATAATAAAACATTCAACTATGTGTGAGAAAATATTGAAAATCACCTAGACCATGTTGCCCAATAAAGGTTATGAATTTGTTGTGCATCAAAGGGTTAAAAAATGATTCACATCAAACACTATCAAATGCTTGATTTTTCATGCCATATATCAGTGCAAAGCTGTGGCTGTGCCTGAAAGTGAGGCGGTTATTTATTTATTATTTGAGAAAAGCCAATTGAGTTTAATAATTAATCAAATGTTGTGCTGAGGCTGAAGTTGTCAACATCCACACAGACTTTAAAGTCACTTACTTGTTGTAATTCGCGATGTTTCGAGCTATCATGTATTCTGAATCTGTATTTCTCCACTGAACCTATGATCCTGTTTTGCTTTTTTCTACTGAGCATAATGCATGTCCTTGAAGATAACATGGCTGGTGAGAACTGGGAGACAGTGGAAACTCCTCTATTCTATCAGTTACTTTAGATACATGTCTTTTGGACAACACACACACACTTTGTATTGGATCCAAGCAGTTTCTGTTTACATTTCAGTGAACTTCCACATGAACAGTGCCTGGCCTGTTTTTGTTTCTTTGGGTATGTTTTTTTTAGAATCAGTAGGTGAGTCAGATGTGTTTTCCCAGTGCATCAGCATCATATCAACACACTTTTGATAATTTTCTAGAAGAAAAGAATAAATAACGCAGCTGAGCTAGGGCTAAATGGCAGGGGCAGGACTTATTTTCTTGAGGAAGCATGGCTAAAGTGTGTTATGGAACGAGGCATGTAATTGTATAGCTGTGTACAGGGTCTTTATTTCCACTTTAATTTATTCAGATGTACCAATGACCACTTGTTTTCAGCAAATTCATGCATAGTTGTACTGTCCATCTGTGCTTTTGTTCTCTAGTAATTTCTTTTAATGTTTATCATAGATGGAAATGAGCCTGTGAGTCTAAATCTGGCACAATCTCACAATGGATTCAAGTCCTTGTGTAAATTAGGAATAATTGCCCTTCTAATTCAAGTTTTCATTGCAGATTCAGAGTTCAATGCACAACAGTAAACACTTTTTTTCCTCCCAAACAGCTTAAAGAAACCATTGTGCAACAGTCTGTAGGTTGCAAAACTATTACAGTAGACTATAAGTGATAAAGGTCCAGAAGTCATTATTCAACGTAACTGCTTAGGTGTAACTAAGTTCATAGGTGGGCAACTCACAGGAAGAAGCTGCTCTAAAACTGATATCATTGTGAAAGGGAAGAGAAGTAGCCTAAATGAGAGGATTTGAATGTTACGTTGCCCCAGTAACAATCTCTAAATAAGTGATGTTCTTGAAACACATGCTGATGTTTACTGTGATAACTGTGACCTATAAACTACATGTAACATGAACTTTTAATGTTTTAAAGTCTTCTTACTTGTTACAGCTACACTTGATATGGGGGCACAACGTGTCATAGACCAAGTGGTGGTAAGACTGGGGTGTAAGGGAATAATACAGTGGAAATGGGAGAGGGTGGAGAAAACAAAAAAAACATAAGTGGTTAGACTGAATGGTGTTATGGTCACTGGCGTAGCAAACTGTGCTCTCCCCCTCCCCACCACAGACTTCAGCCAGGCAGCAGCAGGAGTGCAGCAGGTGAGTGATCAGCTAATTAGCAGACCAGCTGCACCAGGGCCTTTAAAACAGACACTCTTTCAGTGCAGCAGGAAGCAACAGAAAGTAGCTCGACACTCTGCCCTGGGAGAGTCTGCCACTACTTTTTGAATTCTCAGGACCTTTTCACCTCCCAGATGTAGCTGGTAAGGGTAAAAGACAATCTTATCACAAGTCAAAAAGGGGTTTTCCCCTAACTGGTATTGGGGTGAACCAATTGTGGATTTGTGTTTGGAACTATGCATGGTAACTAGATATTTACCAATAATTGCTAAACTAGGATAAAGATGATTAAAATGACATATGTAATGTATTGAATATAAAGAAATATTTAAAAATATACTATAAAATGTATGTATTGAATTTATTCAAGTGAAATCCAGCTAAAGTTTGAGGTGTATCTCGCAAGTGGGAAGACTTGAGTACTGCTAGATCCACTTGACAGTCACAGGTGTTAAAAACACACTAATCAACTAAGACGGATCCTATAGGTAACATTTGGGACTAAAACGGTTTAAGGTTCAACTTCAACAGCAAACAAACTGCCAGCACAAACACCTTACTGTTGCTGAAGTTAGGCTTTAATGGACAGAAAACTTGGTATTTGAAATGTTAAAATAGGATTCCCATGAGCGGTTTGAAATTAACTCCATTTTGTAAAGATAGCCCAGGAGTGTAAAAAGCCTCTGTGAGGGTGACTCATAAAGCTCCTGTAAACGATGAACATCTCTATCCATAAACCGTTCACAAATGTGAGCTTTGTCAGTCTTACCTTCAGTTGCACCAGCCTTCCACCTGCTCCCCCGGATGATGCCAGAGACAGCGATCTTCATGTCTGGATACTGCAGGTAAAGGTGGTGCAGGTCCTCTGTCATTGCTGCGATTAGATTGATGCTTAAGACATCCTCCAGGTCACTCCCACCCAGTGGATGAGGACATCTGGTGCTGCTCTTCATAAGGGCTAGATGAAGGAGAGAAGGCTCTTCCACCTCAGTGCACCAAAGCTGAAGAAGCTGATGTAGATCCCATCAACACAAAGGTTTTTAGCTGTCCCCAAAACATTGTAATAGTGATGTATAATGGCAATAGGAAAAAAGGGGAAAAAAGCAACAGAAACAGCACTTCAGTTAAATGTAGACAGTACTAAAATGCATACTGTTTTCTCTTGACTGTAACAAAAAATTATCTGCTGTGTTGTTTCACAGTCAGTGGCAATGAATGTAGTAATGTTACTTTTACTGAAAGAGAGACAAAAGACAATAATTATAACAATAGATGTCTGTCGGCAAAAATAAAATGAACAGGAGTTGCTAAAACAGCCTACAGTCTAAGCTACAAACACTTAATCAAGAACACAAATTTTCTCACATAACTGGTATAACTTCAAATTGTGCTTCATTTCTGTCACTGTGAGAATGCACTTTAATCAGTAACATTGTTCTGTGGTGCATCATTAACTTTGTTAAATCAATGAATTTTCATCTGCTGGCTTTTGAAAACAAGTCAAGACGGTCAGCAAAACAATTTTAAACGTTAACTATGTTTAATGAATTGTAACCTATGGCAAACCTGAACACTAATCACATATCAAATTTACTATCCAAGCATTGTTTTTGAATAAAAAATCTCTACCTTTAAAACAACTTCCCCACCTTTGCCTACTTTAGTACGTCAGGATCTATGAATATGTGAACTGGTCCCCACCTCTCCACCCACCGCTCTGCTGCGTGCCTAAGATATTTGTGGTTAAGTGATGACTCCTGCCACATTGTCTTTTTCTGTGTGTTTTTGATATCTGGTGGGTGAAGCAGGAGTTGTCTGTTCCAACTGAAAACATGTGTTCCTAGCCTTGGCTGCTGCAGCTCTTTACTGTTACAACACTCAAACCAACTCTCCTTATCATGTACATCCTATACCACTGATTTACACACTATAAGGTTTTCATTTAAGTGTCGTTGGTATGTTTATTAAATTGCATTTTCAGATTTTTTTTTTTTTTTCCTGATAGTGTTGTAACATGGTTAGTGTCATTTGTTTTGGGAATGCATTTGCTGGAAATTGTGGGGTTGCTGCTTAAAGACTAGGGGTGAGTTATTTAGAATGGGTTAGGCAGTTAAGATTATGCATTCTGTTGGCGCCACTGTTTTCCTCATCTTGTGTGTGCTGGTAGGGTTAATGTGGTGTTCCCCTTGGTTTGTGTAACCTTGTTGCTGTTATTTTGGCCTCAGTTGCAGATTTTGTAGATGCTCTGTAGGATCGAACAACCGTAACTGACTATAAAACAAACCAAGAGCAGATTTTCTGGAGACAGGGCCCCCTGTGATAACGGAGTGGAGACACCAATATGCAGCATTCCATATGTGCAACCTTAAATCACTTTCCAGGTTAGTCAGTATAGTGTGAAGTTTGTGTTTGGAAGATGGACCTCCAGAGAATTCCCCGGCACACACATGCAGATGAAGATACCAAAATGTGTATTTCAGCCAGATTTTGGCGAAGTGACTGGCTGACATCCTCAGTCACTATTAAGACTACAAAGGACCAAATGGCCACCAGAAACAGCCTGACCAGCTTTTGATCCTGCAGGAAGTGAGGGCCTTGTTAAGCATCAAAACTCCACTCTGTCTGGCAATGCCACAAGTCCCACCAAACTCACATGAACAAGCCAGTCCAACCGTCAACGGGCCCATCAATCCACCAAATCATCGCTGTGTCATCACAACGTGCATGCAGGTAACTTTTAGTTACTGAGAGTTTGGTGTAACTCTCTAATTTTTCTTTTTCTTGGCAAAATACATTTCACCCAAATTTCAACCTAGTCTCTATCAGATTTGCAGCTTCTTTCTGGTCTTTTCATCCTTTCATTTCAGAGCACAGTTATTTCATCATAGTATTGTGTTGTCTTTTTTTTTTTCTTGCCTTGTTTATTTATTTATTTATTTTAATTTTAGTGTGGGTTAATATTGTGTCCTAATTATGGTTATCATGTTTTCAGTTTAATGTGTTTGCTTTCATCTAAGTCCAGATTGCTCGACTGTTTTGTTCACATTTCGGTCCCTAAACTGTAGAAATGCCAGCGAAAAGACCGTCATATACAGTGTTTGTGCTGCAATCTTACTTGATCATCTCACTAACTGAATGCAAAGTCATAAATACATTGTAACATAAATTTTTTTCCCTAGAGCTACATTATGGGCGTTGTTTGATAAATGCTCTAAAAAAAACTGCTGAAAATAGCTAAACACTATAGTGGTGGAGTTCATATCATAAAGCTGACTTTAAGGTTCTCTTGGCAACAAGTTTGGTAATTCAAGGGGTTTGATTAGGAAGCCTAGCTCAGATTTGGTCCCAGTTATCGCAGGAACTCCTGGTGCAACTGCCGAGCAGACTAGTTCTAGTATATTTGAGTGGCAAAATGAGTTATTTTTGATAACGGGTATGACAAAAGTAATGGGTTTAGGCATTTCCTGTACATGGTTGGTGAGTTAGCATGACAGAAACTGACAATTGCCCAAAAACAAAGATCCCAGTTTAGGGTGTTATAGGTTTAGCCCAGGAAATCCAGTTTTGTCTCTTATCTTTATAGTAGGGTCTTTGTTCAAGGTAACATTTATGGGTTCTTACTCTATAATGAGTACATTGTTTAGCAAAATGATGTTCATCGAACGCCTGGATGTGGAAAGCCAAATCAACTGTCATGTAAATTTGTTAAAACCCTGCCACCCTCATGCCTGTTCTGGAACTGCCAAGCTGTGTAAAAGGGTTTCCTGCAGGTTAGTTCTGTTCTCTTGTTGGGGGTTGGATTAAGTGCTTTGGTGCATACTGTGACAGGAAGAGGCAAAGGGGATGACTCTATAGTTAAAAATAAAAAAAAAGTTTGTTTACAGAAGAAACTGAATCTCGCTTGCATCATGTGGACCCGGAAAGGTTTGTAAGTAAGTTTGATTTGTCTAAGCATTGGCAAGTCCCACTATTTGTGTGTGCACATGAAATCTCAGCCTTTATCATATGGGCTATATGAGCATACAGTCCTGACCCTGAGCAGCCACCGTCCGAAGGAACAGGGTCTGCCAACGCAATATCATCCAGGCCTGGGTTGGCAGTTGGAAGTCTGCCACCCAGGAAAACGGTGAGTACCGTGATCAGTCTGAATAGGTGGGCACAGCCAGCCAGCCAGGGGCTTCATAAGTGTGTAGAGCGCACTGCTGGCCCCTGTACATCCCCCTGTACAACAGCTGCATGTTCGAGGAGAGGGCTTTGCATATTACTGTATTACTTAAAATGATGTATGTTAATTGCGTATTGTGGGACACAGCTCTCTGTTTTCCTCTGGGAATTTTCATCCATTGCTATAAAGTTACTCATCTTAAATGTAATAATTGCCAAATGCACACATGTAAAAAATTAACTACTAATATTACTATATGTTTATAAGGTTTACCTTGAATTATGGAAGTGAGCTTTGTCACCAGCAACTGCATGGCGTAACCAGGAGCCAGGTGTAGGTTGCTAGTAAAGGTGGGTGTGCTCAGGTGCTCAGGCAGATCCACGCTTTGCTCATCCTCAGCTTCTTTCTTGTGTCAAACACTGTCACTTCTGGTTTCAAAAAACCAAGATGGCTACAGTCAAAGTCCAAACTTGAGGCTTTAAATCGAAAGTTCACAAATCACAAGGGGATGTCACGGTGGCTATGTCCACTTCATTTGTAAAGTTTAGGGTTTAGTTATACATGTATTTTCTTCCACCAAGGTCTGGTGTTATCAGATAATATTACTGAAAAACACATGATGTTACTAAATGGAGCGGAGGATGGAAAAGATTCAATAAAGCCTCAGATGATAACGCAGCAGACTGCTGTTCATTTTGTGTTAATAGCCAACAGTCAGCGTTGTTTATTTTACTATGAACAGGACCATGATCATTTTCAAATCTTCACCTAATGTTCCTCAATGTTAGTGTGAAAACAAAGCTCACCTAGCCATAGTGATGTAATCTTTCCTATAGTTTGTTACATCATAAAACTGACATGTTTTTAACAGTGCTAAGTTTTAAAAGTTGTTGATGTCCTGTTGATGGGGGTGTTGGCTGAGATCTCCCCTCTATGTGTTGTTCTAGATGGCATGGACAACCTGTACTTTGTCATTTCCTTTGGAGGATATGTTGGATTGGAGTCTTGTGAGACGAATGACACTTTCTTGGTTCCATATTATATCACATGATTACTACTGCTGACAACTAGCAACATGTCAGGTGTGCCTATTTTCGGTTTGATCAACAGATAAAGTGGTTTAAATAATCTGGAGAAATTATCAATGTTAAAAACAATTTATAACCTGATGGGGATGGCAGACTTTCCAGTATTTTGTTTCATTCTTCTTGTCCAGTCAGTCTTTTAGAATTTTCTATTTCTTTTCAAGCAAAGATATGCAGTTGAAGAAAGTTGTGACATCTGAAGATCATTAATTGACACTCACACTGCTACCATATTGTTCACACGGAGTTAGAAGTCCTAGAAAAAATGAGGACTCAGGAGAACTGAGAATATATCATCAACTTTAATATTCCACACATCAGCTAAAACATTAAAACCACTGACGGGTGAAATAAACGACAATGGTTTTCTTGCTACAATGCAATGTTTTACTAGGAAGTCTTGGGTTTTTGCATTAAGGTGGATGTTATTTTGACGCATACTACCCAACAAAATACTCCTAGACCCTAGAGGCTTCACCCAGCAGGACAATGTGCACTGCGACATTGCAAAAACTGCTCTGGAAGAACCTGAGGAACACAAAATTGTGTGTTGACCTGGCCTGAGTGATTTTTGCAGCATGAGGTGGATCTACACAATATTAGACAGAGGGTTTTGAAATTG